GCCTTTAGTCTTAAAGACTTTAACTCATTTTTAAAGTTACTTTAGTTAGTATCTTTTTCCAAATTACTTTTTATTTCCTGGGCATAGCATATGCTTTCACATTTCTTTGTCTTTAATTGTGTCAGTCCCTCGCCTGAGATACCCTGGTTTTTGTCCTTATCTCCTTGGAATATTGCCACTCATTCCTCTACACCTAGCACAGATTTTGCCTCCACCAGGAAACTTTCCCTGGCCACTACCAGTAGACTTCAATCATTCACTCCTCCATGCTTTAATAGTACCATGTACTCACCTCTGCCACACATGTATCAGGACTTTTTCTTTGCCATTCATTCTTCTTCACTTGAGGAAGAATGAATGGTAAGTTTCTTGAGGACAGAAACCAAATGGATTTGTCGCTGGATTCCCAGGACTTAATACTAGTGCATATTGTATGTTAGAACCCTCTTAGATGAAAAATAACAGAAAATTTAGTAGTAGCTAAAATAATATAAGGATTTCTTTTTTTTTTTTTTTTAAGATTTAAAAAATTTATTCATGAGAGACACAGAGAGAGAGAGGTAGAGACACAGGCAGAGAGAGAAGCAGGCTCCATGCAGGGAGCCCGATGTGGGACTTGATCCTGGGACTCCAGGATCACACTCTGGGCCAAAGGCAGGCGCTCAACCGCTGAGCCACCCAGGCATCCCAAGGGTTTATTTTTCTTACCTAGAAAAAACTCCAGAGGGAAGGTGATAATTACCATTGGTTTACCTATTCAGTGATGCCATCAAGAATCAGACCCTTTTCCTCCTGTATTGTATTCTCTTCTATTGTATTGTATCTAAGTTTAGGAAAGAGGTAGGGTAAGTTTGTGCCAGCAGGCTATCCTCTGGCTCCTTTCCCTCCATAGGGAAGCAAAGACTTCAGCCCCTTAGCAGACTTCTGTCAGCCAGAACTTGGTACTTTGTCCACTGCAGCTGCAAGAAAAATTGGGAAGCTGAGTTTTTAGGAAGACAAATCTTTTGAATGAGAACAAGATGTTGAAATAATCACAAATGCTCCAAGTAATCACAAGACCGCAAGGAAACCAGGGATCTGTTTCCTATTGGATAAAAGGCCTGAGGAAAGACAGAGGACCAGTCCAAGAAGACTCTCCAAGACAAGAGGGAAAAATGAGTGATCCCAGTGGGAGCAGCACCTCACTATTATAGGTAGAAAGCATAGGTTCATCTGTTGAGGAATGTAACATGCTCTGGCCACCCACTCTAAAATCATAGAGAATTCCATATTGCTCTGGAGACTTCAGCTTGTCTTCTTGTGTAGAAATCATACCATTCCTGTGAATTTTACTTTTGTTTCTTGGCCTCTTTTCTAACTATCATGCTTCCTGTGGTTTTGCAGTCAAAATTTTCCCTGACAGTCCATGGTACAGTTTGCCTTGGCTTTTTGCAAATTATAAGAGTTGTAGTTCTTTAAAATAGAATACACAGTGCTATCACTTCTGCCTACCTAAATTCCATGTTCTTTTGAAATTATTTTCATTTGGACACCTATGCTCACTAATTCTATATTTCATATTCTTTATATCTAACAACAATTTATGATTTAAATTTTTTATAATATTCCATTTTGTAACAGTGCAGCCTTATTAGTCCAAAACATGACTAGGTAAATCCTGCATACAGGTACAAGTACCTCCTGCCATCTAGTATACCTGGGGATAGAGACATTTGCAATGAACAGGAAAGAAGAAGTCTCGTTAAGGGATGAACTACATTAATCTCATCCACGTGCCCTTTTTTTTTTTTTTAACTAAAACTTATAAGAACTGATAGCATATAAAGTATGCATGTAGGGGTGCCTGGATGGCTCAGTCCAAAGCAGCTACCTTCAGCTTTGGTTGTGATCCCAGGGTCCTGGGATCAAGCCCCACATCAGGCTCCCTGCTCAGTGGAGAGCCTGTTTCTCCCTCTCCCTCTGCTGTTCCCTCTGCTTGTGCTCACTCTCTTTGTCAAATAAATAAATAAAATCTTAAAAAAATAAATAAATAAAGTATGCATGTAACTTAGTACTCTTTCTCTACGCACCAAATCTGATTAATGCCTCCAGAAGTTACTACAGTGCACACAAATGTGAAATGCCAGGTGGATGAAGTAGAACAGATTTCATTCTAATCCAGCATCATGATTTTGGAAACAACTTACAGAGTAATTAGAATAGTATATCCTTCAGATATTTAGGATTGAGGCTGCTTTGAGATGGGTTGACATGAAATCCTTAAAGAAATAACTCATGAGTCCCAATAGCCTCTAGTGAGTACATGGTGTGGCCACCTTTATGGGTGGTCATGGTGAGCAGACACTAAGCATGAGCTTTCCATTTTGAAGCTGCCGAGTGACCGATGTCATAGTGTGATCAAAGTGCTCTGCAAATACTTACTGTAATTATTGTTGTTGTTCTGTTCTTGCTAATAGCCTTATTTATACCCTGAAATTATAATCATCCAAAGAAAGATGAAAACAAGATGTATGCGTTTTCTGAGCTGTTTGCCTCACAGATGGTCACCCTTGGAGCTCTCCGAAATTGCCAGGGTTAATTGAAGTTTCAGTCTTCACTGCAGTGTAGTTGATACTTAAGTGTTTCTTACCTGTAGGCTTTCACTATCCAAAAACAGTATAACAATAGCACTTTAATTTGCTCTCATTAATGCTAGCCTCTCAGGTAATGTTAGTGCAGTTTTACCTAGATGATGTTTGTTCCTCTGAATGAAACCTTTGTACCAGCTTCCAGCTGAGAAGAAAAGCTAAACAGTTACAAAGATAAAAACACAAATGTCTCACAAATTTATTTATTTAAAAGATGCTCAGAACCTAGGAAACATCAAAGGGGAGTTAACTTTTAAATGAAGAGCAGACATTTAGTGTGTGATTAACAGTGGTTTCTTTCCCTGAGATTTCAGTGAGCTGAGACAACTGGGAATCATTCTTGGGGAGCCAAATAAATAGTTTTTGCTCAGAGCCAGCTGACTGCTCCAAGGATAATTGTTATAGACTCACACAAACAACAGTACTACTTGCTCTTGTTCTTTGGTGCTCTTCTAGTAGTATTGAGATGTGAAAAAGCAGTCTTTAAAAAAAAAAAAAAGATTTTGTTTATTTATTCATGAGGGGGGATGGACACACACACACACACACACACACACACACAGAGGCAGAGACACAGGCAGAGGGAGAAACAGGCTCCATGGAGGGATCCTGACATGGGACTCGATCCTGGGTCCCTAGGATCAGACCCTGGGCTGAGGGCAGCGCTAAACCACTGAACCACCCAGGCTGCCCAGTGAAAAAGGAGTCTTAGGATCAAGCTCAGGATAGTAGAATGGAAGTAAGTCCTTTTTTGCTTTTACTCCTTAGCTATGTAAAAGTAGAAGACCAGTATTAAATAAAATGTCCCATTATTTAGGTGATGCAAGAGCACTTTGTCTCTTGAGATTCGAATACTGGAAAAAGAATAACTATGCTTTCCTAAATCTGGGGACTATTGACTGACTCCCATTGGCATTGCTTGCTATTTAATTAAGGTCCAAGAGAAGAAAAATGAAGTGGGTGAAGGGAGAGAAAGAATTCTTGGTCTCCTTAAATCAGTTACAGCAAATTAGCAACTTCAGCCAAGACTAGAGAATCAGAGCTATGAGCCTTCTTGTATGTGTGGTGTACAAAAATGGAAGGCAAATGGATGAATTGTATGTATGTGAATAACAAAGATGTAAAAAGAAAGCTAAAGAAAAAAGGTAGAGTGTGAACTCTCCAGGTAGACTGATTGGGTTCAAATTAAAGTATCATCAGTTGTGGGTTGAGTGACCTTAAGCATGTTAGTTTATGTCAGCCTGTATGGATTTTTCCTCTGTAATGTGGGTATAAAAATAGTACCCCTTTATAGGGAAATCAAGGTTACATAAGATAATACTAAAAAAAAAAAAGATAATACTTGTAAAGTGCTTAGAATAGGGCCTCACAGGAGCACCCGGGTGGTGCAGTCATTTAAGCATCTGACTCTTGATTTCAGCTCAGGTCATGAATTCAGGGTTGTGACATAGAGCCCCATGTGGTGCTCTGTGCTGGGCATGGAGCAGACTTAGGATTCTCTTCTCCCTTTCCCTTTGTCCTCACCCTGAAATGAAGAAAAAAAAAAAAATAGGGCCTCATACATGGCTAATACTTGACTTCTTTGTTAGTTGAGATTTATATGAAAGATAAATTGGGATTGGGCTTTTTCTTCTTTAAAGACTTTTTCAGTTTTCAAAATTTAGTATGAAGTATTTCCTTCAACTGAAAAATTATCCTTTTTATTTAAAATATACTTAAAACTATTATCCTGCAAAAATTAGATTTGTAGTTACTTAAACATTTTTTACATATTTGTAATGTGAAATATCCTTGTACATATTCTGGTAGAACATGGTATAGTTTGTTGGTATGGTAAGACAGATAGGTGAATCATTGTGAAAAGATAATCCATTTTAGTAGAAAGCAAAGCATCTAGCCAAAATTTGAAAATACAACAGAGATCTCTTCCTCATAAGGCAACCTCCTATACCAAGGGCTGCTTCTTTTGCTACGCACACTGTGGTGGTAATGATGAGCCCAGAAAAGTAGTATTAAAACCATCTTCTCCTCAGCTTGTCATACTGTATGTGGAACCTGACTCGTTACGTATATTTGCGCTTTTTTTTCACATTCTAAAATAGGGGCACACTTAGCTATATCTAAGCTAGTAGGAAATCTGTCCGTATTTCATGGCATACTTCTGTATACTTAGAATTAATAAATATAGCTAATGTTACTGATAATGAAATTCTGTCACTCTGATATTTGTATGAGCTTCAGTTCTTTTCTGAATCTCTTCCTTTGTGATTTTTTGTAGCCAATTAATTATTCATGACCGAGTCATGGCATTGAAATCTCAGAGGGCCATTGTCCTAAAGTCATGCTCATTCTGTTTCATTTTGACCTTGACAGGACTTGATAAGAAGAACCACTATAGGATGATGAGCTGCAGTTGGGAAGCTATAAGCAAAGTAAGTAAAAGAAATACCATTTGAGGGCAGCCCTGGTGGCGCAGTGGTTTAGTGCCACCTGCAGCCCAGGGTGTGATCCTGGAGACCCAGGATCAAGTCCCACGTCAGGCTCCCTGCATGGAGCCTGCCTCTCCCTCTGCCTGTGTTTCTGCCTCTCTCTCTGTGTCTCTCATGAATAAATAAATAAAATCTTAAAAAAAAAAAAAAAGGAAAGAAAGAAATACCATTTGATTGTATGGACTGGAATTTGAAATGGTAGAATTAGTCTGAGCTAAGTTAGATGAAGGATGAGGGCCACAAAACTCTTTGGGTGCTTCCAACAGTAAATAAAAACTTTCCAAATACCAAATAAGGATTTGTGGAGACTTTTTGTTACCCTCATTTTTCTCTGCTTTGAACTGAAGGAACTTGAACTAAATATCAGCCTTAGCAATTAAAGCACACTAAAACATGCCTAGAAGACTCTTACCTAGGTTTCTCCCTTTTAGATATCCTCCAGTTTTATTTCTGACAAACACTTGTTAACTTGAAACTATAATGAGAAGCCTGTGAGGAAAAACTGCATTGTGACCATCTGGTCAATATTCATTACCTTTACATCATACAATTTTACTACTTATCTGGGTTATGTTGGCCTTATGAAACAAAATGATAAGTGTTCTCTTCTCTGTTTTCTGTAAGATGGGTGTTATTTCTTCCTTAAGTGTTTGATATTCACTAGTGAAGCCATTGGGGCTTGCAGTTTTCTTTGTAGGCAGGTTTTTTTATTTATTTCATTTTTATTGTGAAATATACATAAAAGTTACCATTTTAGCCTTTTTCAAGTATATAGTTGAGTGGCATTAAGTATATTCACATTTTTTTTTATTTATTTATGATAGTCACAGAGAGAGAGAGAGAGAGGCAGAGACACAGGCAGAGGGAGAAGCAGGCTCCATGCACCGGGAGCCCGATGTGGGATTCGATCCCGGGTCTCCAGGATCGGGCCCTGGGCCAAAGGCAGGCACCAAACCGCTGCGCCACCCAGGGATCCCCACATTTTTAAATAAATATCACAACTATCCATCTCTAGAACTTTTTCATTTTCCCCAACTAAAGCTCTGTACCCATTAAACATTTAACTTCCCATTCTCCTTTCCTGGCAGCCTACCACCTTCTATTTTCTGCCTCTATGAATTTATGACTACTCTAGGAACTTCATACAGGAAGAATGATACAACATTTTTCCTTTTATGATTCGCTTATTTCACTTAGCATAATGTCTTCAAGGCTCATCCATGTTGTAGCATGTGTCAAAATTCCCCTCTTTTTAAAGGCTGAATAATATTCCATATTACATATATGTCATTTTGTTTACTTATCTTTTAGTGGACATTCAGGTTGCTTCCACCTTTTGTCGATTGTGAATAATGTTGCTGTAAACATGGTATACAAATATCTCTTCATGTCCCTCCTTTTACTTATTTTGGATATATACCCAGAAGAAGAATTGCTGAACTGCATGGTAATTCCATGTTTACTATTTTGGGGAATTGTCAGACTCTTTTCCACAGCACCTGCACCATTTTACATTTCATTCAGCAATGCACAATGGTTCTAATTTTTCTACATCCTCACCAATACATTTTTTTTAAAGTAGTAGCCATCCTAATGGATGTGATGTCTGTTTTGCTTTTAATTACAAGTTTAACTTATTTAATAAATTTAGGACTATTTGAATTTTTTTCTTGTGCTGTTTTCATAAGTAATTATTGGTAAATTGTGGTTTTGATGGCATTTATCCCTTCTAATAAATGAAATAAAATTTTTCACAATACCTCCTTATTAGCTTTTCAATGTCTGTAGGGTCTGTGGTGATGTCTCCTCTTTTTTTCCTGTTATTAGAAGTTTGTTTTTTCTGAAACACGAGTATTTGATACCAGTCTTGCCAGAGGCTTATTAGTTTTATTAATCTTTTCAGAGAATCAGCTTTGGCTTTGATTTTCCCTGTTTTGTCCATTTTCTATTTCATTTATTTCTGCCTTTAGTTTCTTTTATTTCCTTCTTTCTAATTACTTTGCATTCCATTTACAATTTTTCTAGCTTCTTTTTTTCTTAAGATGTTACTTATTTGGGAGAAAGAGACAGAGATAACAACAGAGATAGCGAGAGAGAGAGAGCATGAGCAGAGAGGAGGGGGAGAAGCAGGTTTCCCTCTGAGCAGGGAGCCCAAAGCAGGGCTTGATACTAGGACCCTGGGATCATGACCTGAGCCAAAGGCAGACACTTAACCGACTGAGCCACCCAGGTGCCCCTATTTTTCTAGCTTCTTAAGATTGAAACTGGATCATTGATTTGAGATCTTTCTTCTTTTCTGAAAGAAACATTTAAATCTATCAGTTTCCTCTAAACATTGCTCTAGCTGCTTCCCATAAATTTTGATAGTTTAAGATTTCATTGTTACTTAGTTCAACATATTTTCTAATTTACCTTAAGATTTACTAACTCATATAAATCTGACCTATAGATTATTTAGAAGTGTTTTGCTTGATTTCTAAATATTTAGGAACTTTCTAGATACTATTAAAGTTTAGATAAAAAAGCAAAAGGCAACATTATGCTCCTATAAGAGAAGAAGCACTTTAATTTTTTTTTTAAAGAGAAGCACTTTATTTTTATTTATTTATTTTTTTAAGATTTTATTTATTTATTCACGAGAGACACAGAGAGAGAGAGAGAGAGGCAGAGACACAGACAGAGGGACACATGCAGGGAGCCTGACATGGGACTCGATCCCTGGTCTCCAGGATCAGGCCCTCGGCTGAAGGCAGCGCTGAACTGTTGAGCTACCGGGGCTGCCTCAAAGTTTAAAGATCTAGTTGGCTTTGTTAACTAATTCACAAATTGGGCAGCATCCCATCAAGCGAGTAGAGAAGAGCTCCAGGGGGCTACAGAAAGGAAAAGTTTTTTAAAGGTAAAGAGGGAGTGGAAAAAAGAAAATTATTAGCAAAGAATCCATTGTTTTAGGCAAGGTTGCCCTCCTTAAGAGGAACTGAAAGGTCAGTCCCTAGTGCAAACCAGGAAATTCTCATGTTGACTGGTTAAAGGTTACATTCCTGGGGGGTTAAAACTGCAGTTAGGTTAGATATTAAGTCGTGTTCTACTGACTTGGGGTCTTAACCTAAGCAACACTGTTTTCGGCCTGTGGTTTTGTTTTTAACATTGTTAATATAGCTCCATCAGTTTTCTCATGCTGCATTTGTTTCATATCTCTTTGTTTTAAAGTGCTTCTCTTATAGACAGTATATGACTAGGTCTTGCTTTTTCATATAAATGGACAGTCTGTGTCTTTTAATTCGACTCCATTTACATTTAATGTAATTACTTATATAGTTGGGTTTAAATATGCCATCCTAGTATTTGTTTTCTAACTGTCCTGTTCATTTTTAGTTTCTCTGTGCTTCCTTTTCTGTCTTCTTCTGGGTGAATGGAATATTTTTAGCAATACTTCTTTATTTCAAATAAAAAAACTACTTATTTATACAGTTTCATTATGCAAATAGTAACCTATGGCAAATATTATCAAATATCTGTGGCAGAAATCAACTTTCTTTACCAGAATTCTATTTGGGGTTGACCCTGCCTATCTCTTCTTTTCCCATCACAAAATTGAGCCATGACCTTGTAGACATTAAGCTAACATGATAGTCATAACATAAAGCATACACCTTTAAATTGTGATCAGTGTAACTGGATTACTGCCTGCATCCTGTCACACTCTTCTGTCACTTCCTTCTTCTACACTGTAAGGATCTTAGGAGCTACCCTGAAAAATATGAAGTAGTTTCCTTCTCATTAAATTTATGTTGGACAAGTATCATTTTTGTATTATCAATCAAACAATTAATTCACAAGCAACTTGGTGCTTAGAAGCGCCAATTTGGTTGAGAAGACATTTATATAACTTTATTATGTGTTTTTCTATAATGTATTTGTTATATAAATGTGTCATTTATATAACAAAAAAGACAAAGAACAATGCAAGGCTGTATGTGACTGTTACGGATAATTTAAAAATGAGGTAAGGTGTTTTTGGAGTTAATTAGAAAAACAGCTGCCTAAACAGCTGCCTGTGGAGAATCTTGATTGTTTATGGTGAGAGAAACTCATATCTTCTTTTTCCCTGTCTTCCTCTTCTCTGTATAGATAGAGATAAGTATCACATGATTATTTGAAGATTAAAATTTTGTTTTGACTTGGCTTTCCTGGGTGGAAAACATTTACATCATTTTATACTTTTGAGCATGAATTGTCTCTTTCTAGGTATAATCAGTTTCTGCTCTTCAGCATACAGATTTTATGAATAATATTCATTGCAGAAAGAGAGCTCTAAAAATAATTGTGCAGGTAGGGTTTTGTTAGTCTTCCATGGAACACAAGCAGGAGAAAAGAACAAAGGCATATCAGAGGAAAGGTAGTAGTAGGCAGAGCATTTAATCTCATTTGCCTCCACCAAAGAGCTTGCACTTAGCAGAGCAGGAAAAACAAACAAGAAACAGGAGATCTGCACTAGCTATTCAGTGTTTTGTTTCTCATCACTGTTAGTCACATTTGAATGGAACCATTATGGCCTTTTTGGTGTATAACTAGGCCTTTTTTTTCCTCCAAAAGAAAAATCTTGAATTTTACGTTTAAAAGCACAATGAGATGTTTTTGACATTCTGCAGTTTGTTTTGGAAATCACAGCCTTAAAGTCCATTGCCTTTCAGTAAGTTGATAAAGGATGTACATACAATACACGTCATTTTTACAGAAAATAGTACCTAGATAGTCTATAATGTGCATTATGTATACATACCTTTTAACATCTGTTTCTACCTGGCAGCTTACAGCATTAGGCTGAATGTTACGATGAACAACAATGGGGATGAAATGCTGAGTAGTTGTATGATGGATTTTTATTAGAAAAAGTAAACTCTTCAGAGCTTCTTTTTGATACTTTTCCATAAGGATTGTAAGCCAACATATTTGTCAGTATATAATTAAAGTAATATACTCTTTAAATGTTTAAGTTGTTCTTCCAGAATTGGGGATGGACTTGACTAACCAACTGATGATTCTCCTCTGGAGCTAGGATTGTAGATATTTTGTACAGGGAAATCTATTTTACACATGTGTTACTAACTATTCTTACAAATATATGTATACATGGTTGTTAGAATTGCTGGGGGCAGCCCAGGTGGCTCAGCAGTTTAGTGCCACCTTTGGCCCAGGACATGATCCTGGAGACCCGGGATCGAGTCCCATGTCAGGCTCCCTGCTTGGAGCCTGCTTCTCTCTCTCTCTCTCTCTCTCTCTCTCTCTCTCTCTCTCTGTGTGTGTGTGTGTGTGTGTCTCTTTCTCTCTCTCTCTCTCTCTCTCTGTCTCTCATGAATAAATAAATAAAACCTTTAAAATAAATTAATTAATTAAATAAAATAAAAGAATTGAGAATTGCTGGGATCATATCCTCAGCATTTACTTATTATTTGACTAAATTTCATATTTTTCAGTTTAGCCTAGAGAAGGAGATTTAATAGGGTGTTTTCTTATTCTGCTATTACTGTACTTGGGCTTTTGGTTGAGTGGTCATGAAATATTCCCAAGAATATGTTCACTTAAAATTCCCAAACCAAAATAATAAAATCACTTTTAAAAAGCCTTTTAATGCACAAAATTCAGATTCTGGGCTGACATACTTTGGCTGTGTGCTAGAAATTAAATGAACAAATACCAAACAAAGCAAAGTTGTTGCAAGGCTATGACTTATGAAGAATGTCAGTCAGCCAGTGGTATACACTCTAAATATTCATTTTCCTTCTCTTAGCCTGAAAATACTTCAGGACAGAAGCTATCATGCTTACCTTTTATTTAAAAATGTTTGGTTTTCATGTCTTTTCTCAGGTTGCAAACCTTTGGACCAGTTTTTGGCTATTAGATAAATAATACACTGTGTAATCCATACTGATTAATTAATCACTTGTAACTTTCCAGGTACTGTTTAGGATGAATGTGATTTGGAGAAATTCTGTTTCCTGTCTAAGGATAAGAAAGGTGCCACATAGATACCAAAGTGGTAATCACCCAGTGGTCCCTCTGGGGTCAAGGATTTTAACTGACCCAGCCAAAGTTTTTGAACACAACATGTGGTGAGTTATCTTTTGACATCTGATGTTATAAATGTATGACAAACATTAACAGTCGTATTATTTTCATTTTGTGCCAAGAAAGGACTTTTAAAGTTGATCAGTATTACTGAGATCCAAAAGGCAGGGCAACTGATCCTAGTATTGCTAATTCTGAATTTCTTTGCAAATAGAATTGGAAAAATGACATTTCCCAGGTGCTTTCCTCAGCTTTGGGGTTCTTGCAGACCATCCCTGCTCACCTCTGGTCCTGACTTGCCAGCATATTGTGGGAAGGGAGGCTCTTTTTAGGTAGATCCTTCCTCCTGCCCAGCAGACCCTTCCACTTTTTACAAGTACTTGTCCATCAGCAAATGTGTGTATTCAGTATCCACTGCTTACTAAGACCAAGAAAAACATACTCGTGTGACCCTAGTGTGTTCTTTCAGGAAATCCATCTCCTATTTGGAAAGATAGCTATTTACAGGAAAAAAATGATAATTAACAATACATGGCAGCAAGCTGTAAGGGCCCAATGTGTTCTTAAAAGGCATATATTCTATATATCTTGTAAGAGCAACTCAACAGTGCAAAACCACTTGTGTTTTGGCACTGGAAGGTTTTTTTTTTTCTTTTTTCAATTACAGCTTTATTGACATATAACTGATATATGAAGGAAAAATTCTTTAAATGGAGAAATTCTGTCTCCAGTACATGGTACAGTGCCTGACACACAAATATTTGGGAAGTAATGACTTGGAGAGTCAAAGTTGGAGTTAAGGGCATTCTTGGTGGGTAGAAAGTCATAAAACAGAAAGAAGTGTAAGGCGTATGCAAAAGGCTATGAACAGGATAGTTTACTTGAAATAAAGACTCTTTGAGGAGATTTGTAAATGATAAAGTTGGAATGCTATAGGCCAGTTGTGGGGGTGGGGGCAAGGTTGTGTGAATTCTTGAGTTCACAGCTGAAGTGGAAGGCATTACAGAGCCACTGAAGAGAAATAACATTATACATGGGCTATTAAGTGCTGTGCATGTATTTGGTTAACAGTATAACCAACTAGACAGATCAGCAGGTAGAACTAGAAGCAGGAAAGTGCTGAGAGAGAGATTTTGAAAGAAAAATAAATAGATCTTGATGCTTTTGTAGAATAAAGGAAAAGGAAGCATTTGGGTATGAAGTTTTGATCCTAAGTGACTAATGGAAACTGATTAATTCATTCCATATTATACAATATGTGGCCACTAGCCAGATGTGGTTATTGAGCACTTGAAACCTGATTATTCTGAATTGAAATGTGCTATAACATTTTGAAGACTTAGTACAGGCACTCTCAACCTTATCGCCACCTTCTTGGAAACCTCTGTACCATGAGAGCCAAGTAGAGGAAGAAGCAAACATGCAGGCTGAAATGTAAAAGAAGAAAGATAAGGCAAAGGTCCAAGTAAACCACTAGCTTGTGTACCCATGGGAGCCACAGGAGCAGAAATAAGGAAAGCCAGAAGCCAGGGATGCTGGTACAAATTGTTGGATTGCATACCTATGTTCTAGAAAATCCATCACCATCTGATCTCAGGGACCACCTTTGAGAGACCCACCTTGCTTTTACCAGAACAGTCCCTTTTGGTCTTTTGCCCTGGACCTGTGACTTTCAGGAATAAATCTGTTTTCATTTGTGGCTGAATATAACACATGTACGATAAATCATCTCTTCTGTCTTAGCTGAAGAAAAAAAAAGTACAAAAAAGGAAAGGTAACATATATTAGCAATTTTTATACTGAACTGCATGTTGATATTATTTTGGATATATTGAATTAAAATATATTATTAAAATTTAATTTAGCTTTTTTAAACATGGCTACTAGAAAATTTTAAATTACATCTATGGGTGACATTATACTTTCTCAGACTGTTGCTGATTTAGACCACTTTGCCTGCCATCATCAATATGGACAGTTAGGAGTAGGCTGTGAGATCATTGCCAGGCAATTAAACCTCCACAGGAACTTCTGGTCCTAGGCAAGCTCTTCATTTACCATTTTTAAATTCTTCATTAGAGTCTAGTGAGTTAGCCGTCTGTTCTTTTTCTGGCTGCTACCACCAGCTCTTTTGTTCAAGGTTCCTGCCTACCCATTTACTTTCTATTTTGTCTAGACTCTCAGGAAAGCAAGGGTCCTCTGGGTCAATGCCCCGAAGGCACTGTGGGCTCACTTTGGGCTCCTGCAGAAGAATCCCTTGGGGAGTTATTATTTCACTAGGTCTAGAGGTATGGCCCAGGAATTTGTAATTTGAAAAAGCTCTTTTAGTAATTCTGTTGAGCAGCCAGGTTTAGGAATCTTTGATCTAGTTCAGTGGTTTTCAAACTTCTTCTTTAGCAGCAGAATTTTTTTCCAAGTGAAGTCCTAACATGGAATCCCAATATTTAAAAGGTAAAATGGTCTTAATGAAGTAGGTATAGAGGCCTGGGGGCATCAACAGCTCCACCTCCCATCCCCCCCACCCCCAACCCATCCCCCTCACTGTAGCAGCCTCATGGATATTTAGGGTTCTTTTGATCAAAGTTTGAAAATATCAAAGTTTGAAAAACTTTGATCTAGTCTCTATCGCTGTCCTCCTCCACAGCCTTACCTATTCCTCTTAAAGGTTATACAGCCTGTGCCAGGATACTTATAGTGAACTCTCTCCAAAAGCAGATTCATAATAATAAAAATCATTTTCTCCAAATGAAGAGTGAAGTATTTGTTTCCTATCATCTCCTCATGCACCTGTTGTTTTGTTGCTTTGTTGTTGTTTTTTTTTTGGGGGGGGGGTTGTTTTTTCTTAAAGAGAAGATTTGTAAATTAAACTGAAAACCAGAAGACTGGGTGACTTTCCCCTGCCTTCAAGTCCAAAGTTCTGTTCAAAAGTTCTGACTTCCTTATTTTCCCCTTTGTATTTAAGAATAGTGTTTCTTCTCTTGCTGAATTTTGACTTTTAAAAGGTGTTTCTAGGGGCAGCCCGGGTGGCTCAGCGGTTTAGCGCCTGCCTTCAGCCCAGGGCCTGATCCTGGAGACCCGGGATCGAGTTCCGGGTCGGGCTCCCTGCATGGAGCCTGCTTCTCCCTCTGCCTGTGTCTCTGCCTCTCTCTGTGTGTGTGTGTGTCTCTCATGAATAAATAAAAAAATACTTAAAAAATAAATTTAAATAAATAAATTAATTAATTTTAAAAAAAAGGTGTTTCTAGGGGCTCCCTGGTGGCTCAGCTGTTTAGCACCTACCTGCCTTTGGTCCAGGGTGTGATCGTGGAGACCTGGGATCAAGTCCCACATCAGGCTCCCTGCATGGAGCCTGCTTCTCCCTCTGCCCATGTCTCTGCCTCTCTCTCTCTCTCTCTCTCTCTCTCTCTCTGTCTCTTATGAATAAATAAATAAAATCTTTAATAAATCAATAAATAAATAAATTTAAAAAAGGTGTTTCTAGAAAACTATTATACCTGTCAATTTTCTCTCAGAGATGTAGAATTGTCTACAATTTATTTTTCCATTTAGCTTCTAGTGTAGTTAGTACTATTTATATATGACCCTCTTTTTAAAATATTTTTTTGAGGAAAAAAGGTACCCGTTTTTATTCAGTTTCTAATATCCTGAGAAAGAATTATCCTCCAGATTCTGTATATTTGTGTGAGTGGTATTTACATCGCCCTAGTCTTTTTTAAAAATAATTTAGTTGGGCAGCCCAGGTGGCTCAGCGGTTTAGTGCCACCTTCAGCCCAGGGTGTGATCCTGGAGACCCGGGGTTGAGTCCCATGTTGGGCTTCCTGCATGGAGCCTGTTTCTCCTTCTGCCTGTGTCTCTGCTTCTCTCTCTCTCTCTCTCTCTCTCTCTCTCTCTGTCTCTCATGAATAAGTAAAGTCTTTTAAAAAAATAAAAATTAAAATAATTTAGTGAATTTCTCATAACATAAAAGTAACTATTTTAAAGTGAACATTTCAGTGGCATTAGTTGCATTCATGATTTTGTGCAACTAGTACCTCTATCTCATTCCAAAATCTTTCCATCAATCCCCAAGTAAAGTCCCCTACGCATTAAGCAGTTTATCTTCATGCTACAGTTCCCCAGCCCCTGGCAATCACTAGTCAGTGTTCTAGCTCCATGGATTCACCTCTTCTGGATATTTGATATAAAAGGGATCATATAATATGTGACCTTTTGTGTCTGGCTATTTCACTTAGCTTAATGTCTTAGAGGTTCATCCATATTGTAGCATGTGTCAGTACTTCATTTCTATTTATGACTGAATAATATCCCATCATATGTATATACCAGTTATGGTATATATGTATATATGTATATACCATAACTGGTTTATCCATTCATCCACTGCCAGACATTTGGGCTGTATCCACCTTTTGGCTCTTGTAAGTAGAGCTGCTGTGAACATGCATGTACATGTACTTTTTTAAGTCCTTGTTTTCAGTTCATTCCTTGGAATGGAATTTCAGGATCATATGATAATACTGTGTTAACCTTCTGAAGGACTGCTAAGCTGTTTTCCACAGTGACGGAAACATTTTACATTCTGCTTAAAGTCTTTTAACTATATTTAGCACAATTTTTCATTTGGGGGGACACTGACATGAAACTATGTTCACAGTGCTTTTGAGACATGGCCTAGAGATCTGTCTATATTGAGCAAATTACAGTTACTTGGAAAAATCGTTCCTTATTTCTTTTTTTTTTTCTTTTTAAGATTTTATTTATCTATTCACAAGAGACACAGAGAGAGGGAGGCAGAGGGAGAAACAGGCTCCATGCAGGGAACCCGACGCAGGACTCGACCCTGGGTCTCCAGGATCACCCTGGGGCAAAGGCAGGTGTTAAACCACTGAGCCACCAGGGCTGCCCTTGTTCCTTATTTCATACCATTCCTGGTTTAAGTGTGTAGGAATTTTTCAGGGGATCCCTGAAATTTATAAGGAAGCAATAAGCACATATATATATCTGTATGACTAAATCACCTAGGCCAGTGGTTTTCAAGCTTTTT